CCTATGATGAAAGATCATTTATACTGTAAAGATTTGTATGAGTCGGTTTTGGGTGATTCGACTAAACTAGCAGATATGAAAGATGAAAGCTAGAAGGAGTTAGGCAGAAAAATGCTGGCTACAATCAGAAAATGGATTGATATCAGTGTGTTCCATCATGTAGCCTAATAGATAGATGCCCACATTGTTTAGAAAAAATTGACAGCATTGTATGAGAGAAAAATAGATATGAATAAAATTATACTTGTTAAAAAGCTTGCAACTTTATAGTACATGGATAGAAGATCGATTATAGAGCACTTAAGTGATTTTTAAGATATATTTAATCAAATGACTATTATGGAGCTTAAGATGGATGATGAAATGAAGGCATTGTTTCTTTTAGGTTCATTGCCAGACAGTTGGAATACTTTAGTTGTGACTGTTCTTAATTCAACTTTTGATTACAAGGTGACATTAGAGATGGTAAAAGACAGTATGCTTAATGAATAAGTAAGGCAAAAAGATTCAAACCATGAGAATCAAGCTCTGGTCACAAAAAATAGGGATGAAACATCGACAGAGGTCAGAACTCAAAAGGATGTAGTAAGTCTAAACATAAATCCAAGTCCAAAGATAAAGTAAAGTATTTCCATTATGGTAAAGTAGGTCATATAAAATGATACTGTAAAATCTTAAAACAAGAGCGAAAAGATAAAAAAGGTAAGAGTTTAAATGATGACAATGTTGCAGTAGTGAATTCAAATAATGATTTAGTTACTTTGATTTGTACACATGTTGATTGTAATCATGTTGGTTGACCCTGGCATTGAGTGGATAGTTGACACAGGAACGACATATCATTGTGTTCTTAAAAGAGAGTTGTTTACAACTTACAAAGCAAGAGACTTTGGTTGCATCAAGATGGAAAATAAAAGTGTGTCACAAATTATTAAGATTTGTGATATTATTGTACAAACTAGTATGGGCTGCATATTGACTTTGAGGGATGTTAGATACATTTTGGATATAAGAATAAACTTACTTGCTATTAATATCCTTAATAAGGAAGGATATGAGAGTTAGACAAAATAATGGGCAATGAAAGCTTCTCAAAAGACTTATGGTAATTGCAAGGAGAAAACTATGCTACACAATGTACAAGACATGGATGCAATTGAATGGTAACCAGATAAATACCTTTGAGGATGATGCTTCAGCAAACTTGTGGCACAAAAGGCTGGCACACATAAGTGAAAAGGGATTACAAATTTTGGTAAGACAGTCTCTCATGCCTTTAACCAAAGGTATATCTCTCGATTCATGTGATCATTGTTTATTTGGTAAGCATCGTAGAGTTTCTTTTCGTAAAAGTTTTTAAAAAAAAATAGATTGAAATTAATTTATTTTGATATATGTGATCTCATTGAGGTTGAGTCATTAGGTGGTAGTAGGTATTTTGTTACTTTTATTGATGATGCTTCACATAAGATTTTTATGTATATGTTGAAAAACAAAAGTTGAGTATTATAGTATTTTTAAAAATTTCATGCCATGGTGAAAAGGATGACAGGGCTACCCTTGAAGTGTAATTAGACTGATAATTATGGGGAATACACATTCAAAGACTTTAAAAAGTACTATTTAAAACATGAGATCAGGCATGAGATGACAGAAATAGAAACACCACAGCATAATGGTGTAGCTAAAAGGATGAATCGCACCATTGTGAAAAAAGTCAAATGCATGTTAAGGATGATAAAATTACCAAAGCTATTTTAGGGTGAAATAGTCAACACAGCTTGTTATTTGCTTAACAGATTACCATCAGTTCCTTTGAGTTTTGACATTCTAAAAAAAGTGTGGATAGGAAAAGATGCTTTATACTCTCACTTGAAAGTTTTTGGATGTAAAGCATTCATGCATGTGCCAAAAGAGCAGAGGTCAAAGCTTGATAGTAAAGTCACACAGTGTGTTTGTAAGATATGGTGATAAGAAATTTAGCTATAGTGTATAGGATTTAGTGAAGGGAAAGACAGTCAGAAGCAAAAATGTGGTCTTCCATGAAAAAGAAAAATAACAGAACTTGAGAAAAATGAAAAGACTATACAGGTTAGTATTGAGTGTGATATGTCAACACCAACAAGAGTTTCATGGGGAAAGAGCCACAAATAGTGGAAATAACCAAAAATAAAACTTGGGGATATAAATAAGCCTGCCACAATTAATGATGAGCCAGATGTAATTAGTTTTGAGTAGGGTGAGCAGTTCTTTCTACTAGAGACTATTAAGCATGGAGAGTTACTTTTGACATCAAGTGGTGTAGAACCTCAACCTAAAAAATCTACTAGATAGCATAGACCATCTACCAAATATTCAAGTTTAAATTTTATTTTAGTTACCAGTGAGGGGGAGCCAGAGAACTTTTAAGATGTGTAAACTACTCCGAATAGAGAGCACTGGTTAAAAGTAATGAAAGAAGAGATTGAGTCATTATAGAAAATGGTACATATGATATTGTTAAAGTTTCAAAAGGAGGAGGCCATTGAAAAATAAATGGGTGTTCAAGTTGAAAAAACAAGGTGACAAGCTAGTAAGGTACAAAACTCAATTGGTGGTGAAAGGTTTTTCTTAAAAACCAAGCATCGATTTTAATGAGATCTTCTCTCCAATTGTGAAGATGAGTTCCATTCGAGTGGTATTGGGATTAGCAACTAGTTTGAACCTTGAGCTTGAACAACTTTATATCAAGACTGTATTTTTGCATGATTACTTGTAGGAAGACATTTATATGAATCAGTCTGAGGGTTTTAAAGTGGAAGAAAATAACACTTAGTTTGCAAACTGAAGAAAAGCATGTATGGCTTGAAACAGGCTCTATGATAGTGGTACAAAAAGTTTAATTCTTTATGGTGAGCCACAACTATAAAAGAACAATAATGGATCCTTGTGTGTCTGTTAGAAAATTTCTTATGGTAATTTCATTATTCTCTTATTATATGTTGACGATATGTTGATTATGAGACAAGATACTGATATAGTTCATAGGTTGAAAGAACAATTATCTAAGTTCTTTGACATGAAAGATTTAGGTCTAATAAAACAGATTCTCAGTATGAAAATTATTCGGGGACAAGAGAGCTAAAAAGCTGTGGTTGTCATAAAAAAATATATTGAACAAGTGATTAGTAGATTCAACATGCAATATGCTAAATCAGTTAGCAGTCCACTTGCCAACCTTTTTTCATCTGAGTAAGAAATCTTATCCAGTAACTAAGAAAGAATAACTAGCTATGTCTAGTATTCCTTATTATTCTACAGTCAGTTCTTTGATGCATCTTATCGTTTACACACGGCCTGACATTCTCATGCAATTGGTATAGTGAGCAGATTTCTTTCTAATCCGAAAAAAATTCACTAGAAAGTAGTAAAATAAATTTTTAGATATTTGAAGGACACTTCAAAAATGTACTTGAGTTATGAAGTTTCATAACCAATTCTAGAAGGGTTTACTAATGCTGACATGACAGGTGATCTTGATGGTAGAAAATCTATTTCAAGGTATTTGTTTACTTTTACAATATGAGCTTGGTCTTGACAGTCTAAGTTGTAAAAATGTATTGCTTTGTGAACTACAGAAGCTGAATATATTGCAGCAACCGAAGCAGGTAAAGAAATGCTTTAGATGATATATTTTCTTCTTGAATTGAGGTTGAATCAAAAAGAGTATGTGGTGTTTTATGATAGCCAGAGTGCTTTAAATTTGAGTAAGAATGCCATGTATCATGCCAAAATGAAGCACATTGATATTATATATCACTGATTATGTTCAGTGATTGAGGAAACAGTAAGCTGTTAAAAAAAGTTCATACTGATGAGAATATAGCAGATGTGTTGACTAAAACACTTATTAGGAAAAAGCTTGAGCTTTGTAGTAACTTGGTTGAAATAGGTTCCTTGGCCAAGGTAAATTCTGAATGAAATTGCTATGGTGATGAATCTCTTCCTAATGGGGCTGAAGGAGGAGATTGTTAGGAAAGTGGGGTCTAGCCCCATGGGTTATTTGACTATTCAAAGGCCATGGGCCTTGTGTTTTTAGGCTTTCTTAAGAGAGCCATACATAATAAAAGGTGAGGGCTATTTTAAAGTGAAAAAAGAAGGTGGTGTCAAAAGCCAAGAAAAGAAAAGGGAAAAAAAGAAGCCAGAAAAATAGAGAGAAAAAGGAGAAGGGATAGTTGGTTGAACAAAAATTGATTCGTGGTCCAATTGAGCTGAAACTTTGTCAGCATGTTTATAATTCAAAGTTCTACATTCTGAACGATGAAGATCAAGTTTGAAGCTCTCTAGAAACAAATCCATGGTGTATTTGTTGAGTCACCTATTTGGTGAAATTTCTCCAATTATCTCTCTAGTTGTTGATTAGCTCTAGTTTTAGCTAGAAAAGAACTTTGTATATCCATTATTTGATAGTAGAGATTTTTTTCTAGTGATCCATAGTTTTTCACTCTATACTAGAAGATTTTTCACATAAATCTTAGTGTGTTTTATTTTTCCTACGTTGTTGATTGTTGATTGTTGTCTATTATTGTGAATTTATTGCGATATATTGTTTCTACATTGTTGCGTTTATTGCTTTAGGCCCAACACCTATTTGATGCTCCATATTCTTGATAAAACTTCATCTCGTGAGTTTATCAAATGTATGTGATGAATACTTGATACTAGACCTTTTGGCAAGTTGAATTTCTTGTTGTACTCCGTTTTTGTCAATGTTGCAGCATTGTTTGTGAAATCAAATATCATTGTTTACTATTGGAACTTAATAGAAGTCGTGCAAGAAAGATCTGCTTTCTAATGTATTTTCAGGTTTGGCACATAAGGAGAGGTCAACGCTTGCGCTGTCTTGAACGTGCACACTCCCAAGGTGTGACAAGTTTTGTCTTCTCTCGTGATGGAAGTCTGTTAATAAGTACATCTTTTGATACTACTGCAAGGTTTTAGTATATGGCCATCTCCTTTGCATATCTAAAAGTGCCTGCATATGAAGCAAGTAGTTAATATAGAACTATTTATTTTGTTATTTCAAAACCGAATGACACGGAACGCTTATCCGAAGTTAAATTGATTTGACTTTTAAAATCACCAATTTATCCGATACCTAAAGTCAAATAATCCTATTGTTAAGCCTAAATAATCTGAACCCGAAATGACTCGATTCCAAGATGACTCAAACTGTAAATGATCCAAACTTGAGATGACTTGAACTCGAAATTATATGAAACTTTTCGACCCCAAATAATCTAACTCAAAGTGACTTAACCCAAACCCGACCCACGCGATTATCACCTCTACTTCAGATCAGTTTTTTCCTTTAAATTCTTTTTTCTTTCATACTAAAATACCCATGTCCATCAGTTACTGTTTTGGTAGATGAATATCTTCCCATATCAATGGTTATATTTCGCTGTCAGATACAAAATTTGATAAGTTCTCTGGTTGCTTCACCTTTTGCATTTTTGGGGTGCAGAATCCATGGATTTAGAGACCATGCATCTTATGTGAATGATGCCATTTTTACAGCTGATGGAAGTGTTATTACTGCCTCCAGTGACTGCACTGTGAAGGTAAATGATCTATACATGTATTCAAATATCCAGCCCTGTTTTAGTCATTTCCTTGGTGCATAACAGATAATGCTGCCTTTTTTAGGTCTGGGATGTTAAAACGACAGACTGCCTACAAACATTTAAGCCACCACCTACTTTAAGGGAATTCTATTTCTCAATAAAGTGAGCTTATATCGTGATATCTTTTTGTTGCTGTTTGCCTTTATACCTTTACTTTACATCTTTTGATTGGTAGGGTGGTGATGCTTCAGTGAATTCAGTACATCTTTTCCCAAAAAACACAGATCATATTATTATATGCAATAAGACATCATCAATATACATCATGACACTCCAAGTACAGGTAAGATCCTTAGGAATTTTAGTCCTCTTAATATGATTTCACATTGTTATGACTTACCTGAAGAAGCACATTTCCCAAGTTATTGCATTGATGATTGCCACTTCTTGCTTATCATCAAAGCATATTCAGTTCTTGGGGTTTGAATGATGGGTCCATTGGGAACAACTTAAATTCACTACGGTTTTTGTTGAAATTATTAAATCATGGTGTCCTTGACTACTGCTGCCAGTGCTAGTTTTGCCAATCCCACCTTTCTGTCACGATTTTTTATCGAGTTCTAGGTGTCGCTATACCAAAGTAGGCATTATATGTTCTAAGTTGTAAATCGTTAAGCTATACGATAGAAATTTTGAATCTGATGGGAAAAACTAAATTTAAATTTCAGAATCTTTTAATATAGGCTTCTGAGCCTAATCTTCAAAATCTTTGAAGAACCTGGAACTTAATTGATCTAGGCAGCCATCCTTAAGTGGTAGCATCCAGCAAGTTTAAGATTCGAATCTCAACACTTGCAACCCTTTCCCTTATTCCTATACTATGGCTCCTTATATACCAACCAAAAAAAAATCTTTGATCACGTTAGCGAAGGTGAAGAGGATAAAGTATAGGTGTTTTGCCTTGATGAGCAAAGGTAATATTAGGTTTGCTTGTAGGTAAGTTAATATTCTGTAAACTCATTATCTTTTTGGTTCTATGCTGGTGGAGTGGAAATGGACTTTTATGATCATACTTTACTTCCATAATGGTTGTGGTGCAGGTTGTGAAAAAATTTTCATCTGGTAAAAAGGAGGGTGGTGATTTTGTAGCTGCCTGTGTGCCATCAAAAGGAGAATGGATATACTGTGTAGGCGAGGACAGGTAATTGTTGAAATTATTCTTTTAAAAAATAAAATATAGATTGTAAATGTGATAGAGGGAAAGGGAAGGAAATCTCTTCAACCAGCTCTTATTTGGCATGACAAGAAAAGGGCTTTTAAGTTTTAGGTTGGGAACTTCATGTGTTTATCATTATTGTAATTTTGTGGCAGCTTAATTTTGGTAAACTTACTAATAAAAAACGTCCTGGAAGTTCTTTTTACTGTTTCCTTTTTGGTTGACAAGGTTGGCCTCCTAAGAAATCTTGTTACATTAGAATATAAATATTAATGATTACAACTTGTTTCCCTTTGAATTTGAAGACTTGCATTTACAGGTTTGTTACATGGTAATATCCCACAATGATTAAATTTAAAGTTTGGTATGGCGCTATATTCAAGTTGGGCATCTTCACCTTTTGTAAATATATTTATGTGGTATCTTAACATGGTACCAGAAAACCAGTGGCTTGTTGCCCCTTATTTGTTACATGTGTTAGGTCACTCGGTTTTAGTTGTTAGTATTTGGCCTACTTGTGAGGTAGAGTGTTAAGCATTGTTATCCTGCAGCAGTTAAGTTTAGAGTTTCTTGTTACCTTATATTTAGGTAGGATATCTCTGCCTATTACCGATTGGTTCTAGCTGGATGCAATGGAATGTTAATTACCAATTTTCTTATCATTCTTTGCCCATGAAGACCTGATGCACTTGAATAAATCTATCTATTATGAAGTGTATTGACTTTAACGGCTAATTTTCTGGTTTCCCTTGGTGTCATGTTGTCTAATGCATCGCTGCATCACTCAGCTCTATTCCTTTCAAAACCGATAGCTGTCTTGACCATAGATTATGAGGTAGGGGGCCCTTTGAAGGAAGACTTTGCTTTGATTGTGGTATTTTCATTATCTTTCTCTCTTGAAATTGAATCGTAACAGTTGTTCTACATCCACTTGTGTCTGCATCCATACCACCTAGTCAACATGCACATATTCATGTTGCTTCTACCACCTTCAACTGTTGTTCTAGATCCAATCTACAAGCTTCCATCAACCTTTTTTTTTTCATGATTCCAAATTTCTTATCTTCATTCTCTTTCTTGCTGCAACAAGTGATTCTCCTCTATAAACCGGTAATACTGCCTTCGAGATCCAATTGGCTTCTGATTCTGCATATTTGGGTTTTCTTGCTGCTAGTTTCTCTGTCTCCTTGTTAACCTTTCCTTTATATTTTTCCCCATGATGACTTTTAAAACAGCATCACAAGGCACCTTTGTTATCTGTTTTTCACTATTCTGTTGTTGTTGGTTTGTAAATTCAATCAAGGTTTCCTTTCGCAAATCTTTTCCTCATCTTGTTCTCACAACTCCCATGATTCTCTTAGTTAACTCTTTACGGTTAGTATTTCCTGGAATCTTGGATTGAAACTTTTCAAGTGCTTTCTCATGTTGCAGGTGTTTCTTGTCTAGCTATTCTAGCTCTGCCCCCTACTTCTCCTTGCCCTCTAAAAAACCTTTTTTTTACGTCAAAGCCTTGAGCTTAAGTTTCTTACAACTTAAGCTATGTATTAAGCCTTCAGAGCCTAAAATATCTTCTTATAGTTGGGAAAATTTGAGAGCTACTCCTGATTCTATGCGATAAGCTTAATAGTTCTAATTCCTCGTGGCCAGGATTATTTAGGTTTTGAGGATTTTTCCCTTCTTTTTTGCTGGTGTTTTAAAACAGATAAGGTCCTGACTCTGCTATGGCAAATGTGGTCCAGAAAGCCTCCAGTGTGAGATTTGTTGCGGTGGAAGAATCAGAACTTGTGACTGCAAATAACGTTTAATCCATTTAAACTTGGACATAATTTATCGGTTAATTTATCGGTTATCGAGTAAATATGCAGACTTGGTCGATGCAATATCCTCGGTTGTGAAGTTGGGTGCAGTTGTAATGTTCAAGCATTTGGTGTTTTCTAGGGGAAACTTACAATTGCTGCTAGTTGGTTAACAAGATTTGTCCCTTTTTGCTTCTGAATGTTACGCAAATTTTACATAAAAGTTATGTATTTTTTCGGTTTCTTTATCATTTTTTTAAACTTGCTTTTTAGTTTTATCTTGCTTGTTTTAATATCTGCAGGAATATGTACTGTTTCAGCCAACAAACTGGAAAACTAGAGCATCTAATAACGGTAAGCACTCAGTTTGAGTCTAAGTTTTTGTCAATTGAACACTTCTAGTCTTCTCTTACTTCCTCTTTTAAAGTTCTAAAATCAGTTATTTTCTTCTATATATATATATATATATATATTTAAATTTATAAACTAAAATCGAAAGTCTATTTCCGTTTACATTCAAGCGAACTTTGTTCTTATTTAAATTGAACTAAAGTCATCTTTAAGAAGAAAAATGAAATTGGATAGGTGGTAGATATAGATGTTTGTTTACTATTACCATATTATCATGATTTGAAATCATTACTGAAGTTAATTTTGAAAGTCACATAAAAATCAAGTTAGAATAATGTATACATTCTTCAATCCCATCGTTGAGGAGAGCTTAATATCTGGGGATTCTATTCACCCTTTATACAAAAATTTCCAAATGTGAATGGGAATCCCTCTCACATTGATTGCACATGCCTCTAATTTACCCTGTTAGGGAGATATAATGGGCTTTTGACAAGGAAAATATGATGAACGTGGCAGTAAAGAAGTGTCCTGAACCAAATATGCCTTTTAAGAGTCGACTGTTGATGAGCGCGTAGGCTAAGTTATGCACGTTTGGTTGTGTGCACCTGGGCCATATTCCTCCTCTTGGTGATATATATGTATATATAGTAAGATACTTAATAAATTAGAAAAAAGGGAAAGCAGAAAATTATAATCAATTGAGATCAATGCTAATATCCTAGCTAATGATATATCAGATATTATAGGGGTGTCTTCATGCATGCAGATCTTTATAGTTCTTAAGCGACAGAAAACGTAAATATCCCTTACTACCAAGTTCTCTGTCCTGAAAACTATAAAAGTTCAACTTTATGTATTCACGTTGAAAAAACAAAATGAAAAGGAAGAAATCTGCATGACTGTAAATTTTGAGCATATCATGACTTGAACTGAAGTTTTAATTTTCTGAGCCCCTGCTTTCATGCAGCTCTGGCTATTTGAAAGTACCACAGCATTTTTCCAAAAATTGAAGTATCATAATAATTGCCAACAGCCTTGTGTAGAATTCATATGTATTATGTAAATCATGTATGTGCATTGTTGTTGAATTTCACAGATGGATTATCCATTTACGTAGAATATGATGCATGCTTTCATGTAACTAAAGTACTTTTGTCTGAAAGAAGAGTAACATAAAGTACAAAATTAAAATAGATTTAAACAAATATAAAAATCATAATTTTGTCAATAGTACCAAAAAAAATTGCAAAACAAAGCCAAAGAACTTTTGTACTAGATGTATTTTTCACCATTTGAAATGAAGATTAAATGATCATGGTGCAAGTTTCTTTTACTTATTTGTGCATGTCTTCACACATTTTATAATCATATTTACATCTATTGTTAATTAAATAAAAAAAAATTCAATAACAAACAAGGATGGATGCACAATGGGGGCAGTGGAGATGCCTGCCCCCACTAAAATCTTTATGCTCTTTAAAAATATATTTAAAAAATGTTAAAAAATTTAAATCTTTTATAATGTCCTTACTAAAAATAAAAATAAAATATATAGTATATGTAAAAATCAAAAGCTGTATTAATTAAAAATAAATTATAGATATTTGAAAAAAAAAAATTTCAAGGCTATTATAAAAAAAAAAAAAAAGCAAATGAAATGACTGTTAGAAAACCATCAGTTTTCCTTTACTCATCTAAGTTGCAGCTTTCACTTTTTCAAATCAAGAAGGCAAGAATAATTTTTAATAGAGAGAAAGAAACTAAAGTAAAAAAGAGAAAAAAAATAATTAAACTAAAGAAACAAATTAGAAGTTAATTATTTTTTTTTCAACAAGGTATTTAAGTAAGTAATTTTTTTATATTTTTATAATTTATCAATCAGTTAATGTGATAGAGTATTTATTTATTATTCAAAATTTATTATATTGCTGAAATAATTTGATCGTGTTATTAATAGCATGTATATATTTTTTTTATCTTTGTCATAACGTATAGATCTGTGAACTTATAATTAAATTTGATTTTAGAAGTCGTTATTAATCTTTTTTTATTTAGGTGCGATTGGTCATTTAATTAAATCTGTCCCATTTTAAAAAAATGTCCCGAGCTTAACTTAGTAACTTTAAAAGATAGATTTTGGCCTACAAAATCATTACTAGGTTCAAAAATATGATTACATGTGAGAAATGTTGTAGCACCCTCATAATGCCGATCGAAGAATGCTACTAGTTTAATTTCGTGTTATCTAAACTTTGAAACATATTTGTATTTTTATCAAATAATTTAATATTGAAAATTGATCTTAAAGTTACCCCAATCATTTGGTAGCAATTTAAAATAATTTTCTCACTTCAAGAGTATTTATTGAGACTCGTGTCCTACCTTAAAAGGGCTCTGTTATTGGATTCATTAATGTGTTTTTTTTTCAAGAAATTAATTTTGAAAACAATTAATAAAATCTTCCAATCATTTAATAAGATTTTCTATCGATGCATATCTTTCAATCGTTTGATGGGATTTTTATTTCAAAAACCTTTCGATGAAACTTTTTTTAAAAAATCATTAATTCTTCCAATATTTTAGTAAAATTTAACTCAAAATTTAAATCCTCAAATAATTGGTAAGATTAAAATTTTTTTTTTTTAAATTCATTATAAAATTCTCCAATCATTTGGTAAATTTCATAATTCAATATTTAAATCCTCTAATAATTTAGCAGGATGAAAAATTGTTTTTCAAAATTCATTGTGAAATTTTCCAATAATTTGATAGAATTCATAATTTAAAGATTTTTAAACCCATAAAAATTCTCCAATTATCTAATAAGATATCATAAATTAAAAAGAAATTATTATTTTATATATTTTAAAACATCTATAAACAATAGCATAAAATAAATACAAGTAAATAAAAATTATACCAATTGGACTAGGTCCAAGTTGGAATCCACAATAACTTAAGCTTGGAAAGGCCCAATAAAATTTTGACCAAGCTTGAAAAAAGAGGGCTGGCTAGATGATTTGGGCTTCACTATTAGGCTTGAATTTTCTTCAAGATAGTGAGCGGGCTAGGCATTATTACGATTAAGCTTCAATAGTGGAGTGAAGATGGCGGAGAGATAGTGCAGTGGTTTTGCTTTTGCTGATTGCTTTTTGTTTCTTCTCTGATCACTATGTTCCTTAACATAGAACTCTCAAAAGAAAATCCTAATTATGTAAACCTAAAACATCATAAAAGACTGTAAAAAAACTCTTAATTTTTTTTTTACTTTTTCTCTTTTAATTTTTCTAATTGATTCTTGATTGATTTTAATTGATCATAATATGGTCTTTTTATAGACCTTTAATCCTGATTACAATAGGAAAATGAGTTTTTTTTGTTTGAATCTCCTAATCAACTTTAACCTTGGATTTAAAATTCAAATCCACCTCTTAAACCAATTCCTTTTTATAGTCCTTTTTCAATTAGAACATTTTCAATTCAATAACTTAATTAGAATTAAACCTTTTCAAGTTTTAGTAAAAAAATTCTTTTATATAAATTGACCCCAGACTAAATGAAGTGTCTACAGCTGCCCCTCTTGTACATTTTCTGTGAAATAGGAATTGTATAAAGATATAGATACCCATTACTTTCGGATTTGATACAAAGAAAAAAATCTAAAAATTCTTATATACAACAAAAATTTGCAATTTGCAACTGAAATTCAAAAATTTGCAACTAAAAATTTAAACATTCGTAATTGGAAATTTAAGAATTCTCAACTTAAAGTTCAGAAGTTCGCAATTAAATTCAAAGATTCTCAATTTGAATTTAAAGGCTTGCAAAACATTCAAGGTTCTCCCAAATGTTCAAAGATTCACAAATAAATTGAATTCAAAGATTCGCAAAAGATTCAAGATTCTCAAAACTTCAAGATTCATAAAATATCAAATATTCAGAAGAAATTCTAGATTTGCAAGTGATTTAAGACTCGCAAAAAATTTCAAAGATTCACAAAGATTTAAGATTCAAAAATTCGCAAGAGATTCAAAATTTGCAAAAATTCAAAGATTCATAAAAGATTCAAGATTTGTAAGAGATTTAAAGATTCATAAGAGATACAAGATTCACAAAATTTAAAAATTCATAAAAGTTAAAAAATTTACAAGTTTCAAGATTTGCTTCTGATTCAAAATTCGTAAAAATTTAAGATTCAAATATTCGCAATAATTTAAGATTCAAAGATTTGCAAGTGATTTAAAAATTCACAATTGAAACACTTAAAGATTCAAATCCCAAATTAAGGTTTTCATTTAAAAATTTTAGAGATTCACATATAAGATTCAAAGGCTCGTATTCAAAAAATTTTTGAGATTCTTATCAAAGATTCACATTTAAAAATATTTTTTTAATAATTTTAAAATCTCATCCTAATAAAACCCCATTAACAAAGACTTAACAACTTCGAAAAATATAAAAAAAAAAAAAGCTCATCTCATCAAAGGTTCAACAACTTTTGAAATATAAAAAGGGATTCTTATTTGAAAGAGATTAAGAGTTCATTCAAATATTCAAATCAAAGATTCAAGATTCTTTTTGAAAGGTTCTTAAGATTTACATAATTCTTCAAGATTCGCATTAAGGATTCAAAGAATTTTTAGATTCGTAAGAATTTTTAGATTCATAAGAATTTTAACTTCATAAGAATTATAAACTTCATAAGAATTTTAGATTCATAAGAATTCACAAGACTTTTTCAATTTCGCAAGAATTTCAGCTTTGCAAGAATTATCAAATTCATAAGAATTTTTAGATTCGCAAGAATTCAATTCTCAAGGATTTTAGGTTCACAAGAATTTGATTTTCAAGGATTTCAGATTCACAGGAATTTTCAAATTCGTAAGAATTTCTTAGTGATTCACATTCAAAATTTCAAGACTTAAATTCTTAGAGATTCACATTCAAAATTTCAAAAATTCTCATTTAAAACTAAAAAATTGTCATTTGAAAATTCTTAG